AGGAGGCGCACATAGTGTTCCTGTGCCGGCACCGCAGCTCCAACGAGGCGAAGGACCGCGCGGAGCGGTACTTCGCGCTGTCCTACCTGCGCCTCATGCAGCGCGAGGGCACCACCACGCCCGACAACCAGCACAACCTCTGCGTCTACAAGGTCACTAACTAGTGAACTTTTGTTAATTTAATCTCCTTCAACCATTCCAACCAAGATTTGTGATAGCATATGGTTCACAAGTCGAAAGGCGGGATTCGAACTCTCGACCACAAAATCGATTGTCCGTAGGTCAAACTCTTAGACTATTGGCGCTTAAAGTTGTATTCTAATCCACATTTAAGTAATTTTCTCTTTACACCAGCAATATCCATATTTCAAGTAATCTGGTCAATTTGCGTGTCGGAGGACTCATTTAGTCCACTTTCCCTTTCTACCCTTATAAGGATGGCCGAGGAAAGTGGGTTTGGCAGAATATAGAAGGTTAGAAAGAGGATATTCGCTCTTGCTGTCTATCCCTTTCTTTGTCTATAATAGATAACGTATCTGCATATCTCACTCGATGGTTATCTATTTCGTCAAATTCAACTGTAAAAAAAATGCGAATAAACCTTGCTTAACTTGGCGTACTAATATGGATTATCCACAGATCGACAACAAGCGAGCAGGTAGCGATGTGGAGGTGGAGGCGGCGGCAGTCTGCCTCGGCTTACCGTCCAAGCGGGATGAGCTCCCCGCCGGTGCTGAGAAGGGCCTCACCAGGGCTCCCCTCTCACTGGTTTATCGGGACTCACTCACGGTGGCCACTAAGTTATGTTCTACTAAGTTGACACAACGAGGTACGTATTAATTTATAGAAATTTGCGTTTATCCGGCTCGAGGGACTATTATTTATATCATGAGAGGCTTAAAGCTCTCTGAGTCGTTAAGTGATCATTTAAAAACTGGACAATAAGTTTTGTTTAATCTAACTAATTATAAAAATAAGAAAGTTTACATAAATGTTTGTTAGAGTTTATAGTTTGAACCGCGGTTCTGGATAATATTGGGCATAGATTTACAGGATATTCTGTAAGAACTCAAAGGCTACTTACTTTTTGTTGGAATTTAGTATAATACCACGGAATAGATTCAACCACGATTATTAGTTTGAAGTACAAAAAGGTGACAGTGACAAAAATTAGAATAGAATACGCAAAGAGTACAATAGAACAAATATAACATAGAATGAAAATACACTTCTTTCGATTGGAGACGCGGTCGAAAGCATGTATTAATTAGAATAATGAATGTATTTGCAGAGGAGATCCTGGGCGTGCTGAAGTGGAGCACGCACCACGAGGCGGGGTCGCTGCGCGCGGCGCTGGAGCGCCTGCTGCTGGTGCCCAGCGAGGAGCTGGTCAAGTTCCTGCAGGACATCCTCGACGCACTCTTCGCCATCCTCACGCAGGTACACCAGACCACATCCTAGGCTGCAGGATTTCTTGTAGTTTCTATTTAGCATATTAGTTCAAGTATATAGGTTATACAGTAGAACCTTGATAACTCAAACCTCGGTTACCTAAAAACCTCTATAACTTCAAAAAATAATATGTTCCCTTCCTATCAGAGCCCAAAACCTCGTATAACATAGACCCTTGATAACTTAAAACTTCTATAACTTAAAATATTTTGTGGTTCCCTTCTACTGTATAAGATATAGTATATTAGAGATAATGTTATTTAGGGTAGATTCTATTTAGAATATGTGATTATACATAGACATTTAAAAAACATATAGACCAGACAATGAACAACATTCTCTCACTGGTACTTTCTCTGAAAGGTACTATATCAGTTGTTACGTTTAAAGACTCGTATGGTAATAATTCTTTAATTACATATATTCGTCCTCGATCCAGTCTACTATCATAATGACATATCCTTTTCTTCCTCTTCACTGACATGCGCCGTCGCGGTTTCTGCATGCCAGATACATCGCCACACGTTTAATGTCACCTCATGTCTGCATTGATATGTAATAGAACATTTGACAAAATTATAATAAGCGCCATCTTTTGTTATAAATTTGTTTTAAAGTAAAAATATCGATAGTTTTAGTGAGGTTACGTGAAAATTGTTTCATATGAAGTATCAAATATGTCTCTATATTTGAATATGTTTGTGTTGTATGTTGAGGTGGAGGAGGAGGGCGAGTACAGCGAGCAGAGCTACGGCGTGCTGGTGCTGGAGTGCCTGCTGCGCGTCATCTCGCTGGTGGCCGACCACAAGTACCAGCACTTCCAGCCCGTGCTGCATGTCTACATCGACGAGAGCTTCTGCGACGCACTGGCTTACCAGTCAGTATCCACCTGGCATGGCGAAATTACAAAATTTTATTTGTATTTTATGTAGTCAGTGTTTATCTGTACTAAGAGGGAAGATTGATATTTTTGGATTTTTGTATGTATTGAAAAACCTGAAAAATTACTGGGTTGAATTTAAAAAGTCTTGTGGCTCTGGGGTTTAATCTACAGATTTTCGAATCCCGCCATGTAGCAATTTCGAATTTTGTACATAATTAACCCGAGGTTCTTACCGTTAAGGAAAATATCGTGATGCAGCAGCGAAGAAATTCAAAGATATGTGTGAAGTCAATCAACCCGCAGTTTTTTATAAATAAAAAAACTAACCATAAAGAATGAAAAGAAAAAAAAATAGATACAATGCAATAAACGAGCAGGAATGGATATAAAATATTAAAAAAAAAAAACAACTCACAATGCAGGGTGGTTGACTATTGCCTATCGTTCTAACCTTGGGTAGGCTTCCCTCAGGGGGGATTTATAGTGAGCTGGTGATAACACTAAATTAACGTTAACAGAACAACAAGTTCTTTAGATTTAATTATTGGCCGACTTCCCAAAAGAAGGAGGTACTCAATTCGTCTGTATGTTTTTTTGTCGCAGGAAGTTGATATCGGTGTTGGTGTGGGCGGTGCGCGCGGCGGACGGCGGCGAGGCGGCGCTGAAGCGGCTGCTGCTCTGCATGAAGTGCCTGGAGAGCCTCATGCGGCTCATCGTGCGCAGCTGGCAGCTCCGCGCCGCGCTCGACACACACACACACCACGCTGACCCTGTGTGCTACCACCTGGAGGTATACTGACAGCTCATGTCCCTGCTGATGGCCTCGGAGCCCCTAACTTAGGGCGTGTCCCGACTTGTTGAGACGCAACGAGGGCCCCTTTCCGGGGCGGTCAGTGGGGCGTTCACAAAAACTTCAAATGTGACAAAAAATACGACTCGAAGGACCAATATCAATAACATCGAGTTGTTGGAGTCCTATAAGGGTATGTGTCCCCTGTCAGGAGCTGCTGGAGGCGCTGGTGTGGCTGATGCGGTGCGGCGACCACGCGCTCACCTGCCAGGGCTCCGCGCTCAAGTACCTGCCGCACGCCGTCCCGCACGCCATCAAGATATTCCCTGAAGTCGAGCTCAGGTCAGAGATATATTCTAAAAATAATATTATTCAGATGTACACATTATTGAAATAATATCTCGCCTGAAAAGCCGCAGGAAAAAGCTAGTCGATACTAATATAAAACGTGAACACTCTTTATTATGTAGGATGTCAGTAATCACAGCATATTTGCGAATAATTAGTTTTTTTTTTAATAAAAAGCCTTGCATCACGCTAAAGGTTTTATATTTTCATTTTATTTACTTAGGAAAAAGTTGTCTTGCGAGAAAGTGATAAAGCTTCAAGCCAATAGCAGCAAAAAGCAAGATTGGTATAGTAATATACTCGTACAGCTGTTCTCGTGCTACTTCAAAACATTTCTGCCGGTATTATATTACTGTATGTATGTTCAGTGCGTACTGCGTGCGCGCGCTGGACGCGCTGCCGCTGGGCCGGCTGAGCAAGCAGCGGCTGCTTTCGCTGCTGGAGCTGGCGCGCGGCGAGCTGGGCCGCGAGCCCGCCGCGCGCGCCCGCCTGCTGCCGCACCTCGCCGCCACGCTGCGTGCGCTGCTGCGCGCCTCCGCAGAGGTACACACACGCACTCACACACATACAAAACAATAATAGGCTTCATTTTAGTCCTTTTTCCTACCCATTCTTTTATTAAGAAAGGATGGGAAAGGATAGTGGATTATGTCTGAAAAACGTTCCTACGGCTCATACAAAACATTTAAATAAGCTTCATTGTTAACCTTTCTCTTCCCACTCTTTTATTAGGGAAGGATGGGAAAGGAAAGTTGATTGATTGTGGACGCATAGGAAGGGGAAATATCCTCTTTATGTGATAGGTAACGCATCCGCAGTTGTAGTTGTCTAAGAACGGTTACTCCGCCTTTTTGGCGAATTTAGGTAACTTAGGTCGAATTTAGCCTCTCGTTCGTTACCACCTTACATAAAATAAAATCTACATTTAACGATTCACACTAATTGTCGGTATAATCACACACCTTACATAGTGGTATTAACGTTTTGTCCGTCCGTTACACCTCACCTGTGATGGTATGTATGCACTTGCACTACGACTCACTTTCAGGCGAGTACTGTCCTATTTACTTTCAAGTTACTTGTTAAAATACATACTCGCCTGGAACTGAGTGTTATTCGAGCAGTCGGCGGTCTGGTCCCGAGGTAAGCACGCATGCAGCATGTAATGTCGCTGTATACGAACAAGCTTTTGGATTTATTTTACTATAATTCACCTTTTATCTCTTTTTATTCTCTTTGATTAAATAAAGACATGTATAGACAAAAATTCTGCAATCGTATCTTATAATTTCTTACTGTAAATTGCATTTATGTATGAACTTAACTCGTTGGTCCTTCGAGTCGGATGTTTGAAAACAAAAACTGTATTTTCCTAAATTGTTTTCGGTAAATCTTTATCCAAAAGCTTTTTTCGTGTTTAATTAAAAATGTATAAGTGTTTACTTACCCAAAAATGTGACTAACAGATTGCTTATTGTTTATTGTAATAAGTGTAAGGTTAATTGCCACATTCAGAGTTATTTGATACACTAAGGGAAGCATTCAGTGAATATCAAATGACTCCGGGTGTATAATAAAGGTATATTTGTTATTTAAGTGACTTTCATAACTAGTTGTTTAAGAAAGATCAAATTGTAAATCAATTACATAAAGACTATAACCAACTCTAAGAATCAATCTATACTAATATAATAACGAAAAATTTGTATTTTTGTATGTAAACTCAAAAATTACTTTACCATCACAAAGCTAAATAATGACTTAGTTATAACGCTATATTAATTACTAGATTTTTTAAAACATACTCATAAATAAGGATACTAACTTATTAACTGAATTTATAAAAGCCATTAATTCTAAGTCAAATTAACTTAAGTGATTTACTTGTACAGTAACAAGCCACGCCGCACAGGCATCGTGAGGTCTGCACACAACGTTGCCTAATCAAACAATATCTCATACAAACACGTCACTTGTATGTGTATGTAGCATGGATGTATGTACAGGGTCGGATTGAGCGATAATATGACGGTTTTACATAACAATAAAACCGATATTATGTGCCGAGAAAACATACAGCATTGCTTATGAAGATGCGTTATATACTTAG